TGAGAATTAGAAGGGGGAAGTTAGTCTTAGCCAGGGAATTGAGCAAGCGTAGGTTTCTTTTACTCAAAACACTGTCCTTCAAATTGTTAAATAAGGGTCAAGGGCTTGTGTTGTTTGTAAAGGTGCCTTTGATATTATGGGGAATTTATGACAACCAATCGTCAAAACCTTAAGCAATGACTGTCTACAGATTGGCTTGTTGCTGTCACTGCTCACAGAACTGCAACTTCTCAATATAATTTAATCAAGTCAATTAATACTGTTTAATAAATAGGCCAGAAAATTAGCTGAGAGCTTTTCTCGGCGGGATGCGGCGTGCAACCAAAGGTATGGAAGATTGTCCCTTGAATCACTAAGGCAAACTTTGTTGAGTGTCATTTTACAGAAAGCAATCAATCACATAAAAAAAGAGTTATAAATAGAAAAAATTCCAAAGTTCTCCCACAGACAGACAGGGAAATCGAAACATCCCCCCACTCAAAAAAAAAAAAGAAAAAAGGAAACAAAACAAAACACACCTCCCACCCCACCCCACAACCCATTTGCTTCAAGTTCTTATTGAACATACAGTACTCAGCATCTTTGGATATTTTACAATGTACAACTCCAAACTGCAGCCAAGAGAAAACAAAGAGAACTAACCAGTCATCTGAAAAACTGAGTTTATAAGAAGTCATTACCTTTACAAAATAAAAACCAAAGCCCCAACACCACCGGGTTCCAATGTGTTCATTTTTCCTTGTTTCCTTTTAAAGTTTGGGTCAGCCCCAATCCCGTGACTGATGCGGGGGCATGGGCATGTTGGCAAGTGACTGAAATGGAGACAAGAATCTAAGAGGCATCTGCCCAGGCAGGTGACATCTGAAGACAAGAGGGCGTCCGAAGGAACTCCCTCCGGCTGGCATGGCATCTGGTGGTATGTGGCGTCAGGGGTCTCTTCTGGGAGCTGGGGGAGTGACAGAGTCTGTGGTCTTCTCTGGCCTTTTTGTTTTTTTTTGTGTGTGTGTTTGCTCAGGAAGAAGCCAAGGCGAGAGGAAGAGTGACGTCTCTGGCCCCCATAGCTCCGGACACCAGCCCAGGGCAATCTGTGCAGATGAATGCTCCTTCTTTCCCCGGCTACTGAGAAACAAAGCAAGCTCAGCAAGAAAAGGGAGGGAAGGTCAGGAAAGGGGAGAGAAGATCAGGAAGGCACTGGGCCAGCAGAGCTGTCTTCCTTCTCAGGACCTGCTACAAAGTCGAGGACCAGGGAGAGTGTGTGGACCTCCCAACTCACAGAGCCCTTCAAACCCATATTGGAGCCAAGGCCGGGCCTCCCTGCACTGAGGGGAGACACACTCTCCAGCTTGGTTCCCAGAGTGCGGAGGGAGGAGTTGAGGGTGTTCAAACACAGCAGAGGGGGGGGATCACCAGCAATGCCAAAGCCCTGAGACATCCACAACTCGAAAGCAAACAGATAAGCTTGGGGAACCAGGGGTTTTGCCTGTTTCCAGGGATCGGAGTGGAGGGAGGCAGTTGCCAGGTGTTAAGAGGTGGCCCCATCCCTCCTCTGTTGGCCTTAGGAGTCCCAAGAAACTCCAAACAGCTTTGGACTTGTGTGGAGGTGGGGTAAGTGCTAACTAGTCATCCCAGGGGTACAGACATGCACAGTGGCCTGCCCAGAGGAGAGGAGGGTAATATGTAGCGTTCCCCAAAGCTGCCCGTGAGCTGTAGACAAGCCCCAGCCCCTGTGTCTAGTTTGGCCACATTTCTCACCTGTGCTGATATACAGGTAGATGTGATAAAACTAACTGTGGTAAGACAGCCGGTTTCACCAGCGACTTTAGGAGTGCAAAGCTGCTACCCTCCCAAGAATTGTCTTTGGAGGGCCAGGCATGTATATGTGGGTGGGTGAGCAGATGAGGGAAAACTAAATTACCACCCCCCTTCAAAGTAGGGTGAAATCAGGGTACAGAGGGCTGGCCTGTCCAAGGTCACAGGACAGTGAGGGGAAAATGGGCCTGGACTCCAGAGGCCCATCTGTCTCCGACTCAAGGAAGCCTCTGTGCCAATAGGGCATTTCCCATAGGGTCCCAGGGCCACTGAAGACTAGAAAGATGACCCACAGAGTAGTGTCAGCAGGGACTCTGCCAGAGGGCCCTGGGGCTCAACCAGGGTGTGTGCCCCAGGCCCTTCCCCACATCCCTGCTCCATTTGGGCTGCCTCTGGCCCAGCCACCCCCTTACATCTAGCAGCACACAGCTCTAAAGCGCTCCAGGGTACCCAGTGTGGGCCTCCTCTGAGGCATGGGCCCACCTGAGTTCCTGTGTGAGAGCCAGAGACAGACAGCCTGGGAGAGGCCAGGCCCCCTGCTGGAGGAGACACCCATCTTAGACACAGGTAAAATGCAGGCAAGCTGCCTCAGGAGGCCCGGAAAATACCATTACTGCTGGTATATGTGTTTTTTTCATTTTTCCTTTGTGATTTTGAAATAAAAAGTTCAAATCCATTGGGTGGGGCAGTGTGGGCCTGGAAGGAGAGGGGACAGGACAGCTGGACTGGGGCCGACAAGGACCAGCCTAGTTGTTGGCTTCAGACATGGAGGCCACGTGATTGAGGCCAGCGAGCCCAGGGAGGCCGGCCAGGCCCGCGGCCCACGGGTCGGGCAGAGGGAAGTAGGGCCGCGCCGCCGCCACGTTCTCGGCCAGTGCGAAGGCCAAGAGGCCCCCTGCGTTCCTCTCGGCCTCCAGCTGGGCGCGCCCGAACAGCTTCATCTGCGTCTCCTCGAACTGCCGCTCGAGCTCCTGCAGGCTCAGCGCGCCCTTGGGCGCCGCCAGGAAGTGCTTGGAGGGGCTGGGGCCCGGCAGGCACATGGCCGCCCCGCCCAGGTGGCCACCCACCTCACCCAGCGCTGGCGGCATCACGAAGGCCGCCTTCTCCGGGGCGGGGCCTCCGGGCCCGAAGAGCAGGCTGGCGGCCCTCCAGGCAGCGGGCTTGCGGCCCCGTCGAGGCCGAGCCATGCGGCAGCTCTGGCGCTTGATGTGGCGGTGCAGGTGGTCGGAGCGCGTGAAGCTCTTGTAGCAGAACTCGCACTGGTAGGGCCGCACGCCCGTGTGGATGCGCATGTGGTTCTTGAGGTCGTAGTTGTGCACGAACTTGGCGTTGCAGTGGATGCACAGGTAGGGCCGCTCCCCCGTGTGCTTTCGCATGTGGATCTTCAGCTTGTCCTGCCTGCAATGCAGAGCTGGAGTCAGTCCTCGCTCCTATCCCTCTGCTCCCGCTTCCTCCAAAACCTACTAAGGCTCCCTACTGCCGTGGTCGCAAAGCCCACGCAGTTATGGCAGCCATGCTAGGATTTACTTGCAACCCCCGCCCCACCCCAAACAGGTGTGGCTATCACTTGGATTAGAGGGCTGGAGAAGGAACAGCGTCCTGAAAAGCCTCCCCCACTCCAGAACCCCTTCTACTGGTAAGCTCTAAGGAATGAAGCCCCCACTCTTTGTCAAGCGCCTGTCTCGTAGACTGAAAAGTAGACCTGCTGGCGACACAGGTCCCCACAAGTCAGCAGTTCGTCTTTAGTCCTCTGATGGGGCAGTGACCTCTGATACTGGGTTGTACCTTCATCTCATGCCCACTCTGACCAGGCAACAGTCTTCCCTTCAGCTCATCATGTGCTTTTTACCCAGAGCCCCTGGGCCCATCCCAGCCAGGGCTGTTGAGATCTGTGCTCAGCGTTAATCTGGGAGGCTACAGAAGTCGGCACACCTTGTTCAAGTCTCTTGCACTGTGGTTTCTTATCCCAAGCCCTGGGCTCTGCTCTTTGTCTGCAGACAATTCCAGGGTTTACAAAAGAGCCAGGTGCAACAAGAATGCAGCCTAATCTAGGGCAAAGCTTTTCAGGGTTTAAGCAGTGTTATTCAAAGGTAAGGTATGGTGTAGGGGTGAGGCTCCCATCAGCGGGTTGGGAGCCCTTGCTCCAGCTGCAGACCCACTACTAAACATGCTGGGTGACCTTAGGCAAGTTATGAACCTCTCTGCACAGAGCTGAACCTAGGGCCAGACATCAATTCCTTTAGCCCAGAGCTGATGAAGAAAATCTGGGCTTGTGTTGCGCGAGATTCAACACACCTCCTGGTGGTCTTGAAAGGAAAGCTGACGTGTCAGGGTTGTTTTCCTTAAGACTGAATGCTGCGTAAGCCAGCTAAAGGACCCTTGCAGCCCAGCTGACGTGGAGTACGCTGGGCAGCAAGGACTCTGAGGATCCTTCTACAGGCCTCCCTGACCAGGACCAGCAGGCCAAGCAGCTCTGTGTCCAGTTTCCCACCTCCTCCCTGCAGGTGTGGCTTGGGTGGGACGTCTGCCTGTAATTTTGGGGTTGGGTTTGAGGTCAGAGCAGATGTGGAGCTCAGGCGTCCACCCTAAAATGGCCCGATTTAAATCACCCTCAACATAACCCCAGGACAGCAGGAGCAGGTCCTGGTCGTCCGGTGTCCCCTGGCCGCTAGAGGTCTCACTGGCTCTCATTTTCAGACCTGTTCTCCAGGGGCAGGGCAGGAGAGAAAAGGATGTTCTTGTGTACACTGGCAGAAACCAGGGGAAGAGGACCAGAGAGGACAGACCTGCCCCTTCCACCTGTGCACAGAGGAAGGCTGGAGGGCACCTGGGAGGTGGTGAGTGGGATGGGCAGGGAGGAGGAAGTGAGCTGACTGGTGCCCTCCACAGACCAGACCCTCCTCTCTTCCAAGTCCCCTGTCCCTGCCCCTCCTACAACCCACCAGCACTCCCCCTCCCAGGATGCATAGTACACTGCTGTGGCATCGCATGCTCCCTTCTCCCCTCTCCCCCAGCATTGCTTGTAACCCTCATTTCATCCAGGTGATTGGAGGTTTGAGCAGGAAGGGGCCTTAGAGACTATCTGGGCCAGTGGGTCTCAAACTTGAGCATGCATCAGAGCCATTATTGGGGCTTGATGAAACGGAGTGCTGGGTCCCACTTCCATAGATCCTGATTCAGTAGGTCTGGAATAGAGAGGGCAGAGAAACTGCATTTCTAACAAGTTGTCTGCTGCTGCTGCTGCTGCTAGAACTACTCCATGGACCACTTTAAGAACCAGGGGCCTAGACTAATCCTTCACTCTGCAGGTGGGCAAACTGAGGCCTAGGGAGGGGAACTCACCAAGGTCACCCAGAGGTTAATCAGAGCTGGGACTAGAACTCAGGCCTGCTGGCTCCCAGCCCCACAGTAGGGTGGTTAGAGCATTTGTACCCCGATAGCCATGCTTCACAGTCCTGAGGGATACGCCTTGGGACCCACACATTCACCCAGGCTCTGATGGAAACACTGATGCTAGGTGGTCAGCTAGGCTCACTCACTGGCTGTGTGACTCCTGTCCTCACCAGGTGGAGGGCTCAGCTCAGAGACTTCAGTGGGGCTCTTCACCTCATTTAATCCTCACCACAACATTATAAGGTAGATTTTTTTCAAAATCATGATTACACATAAGTAGTGGTATTGACCCTAAGAGTCACCCTCAAATAATGGATAATGCAAGTGGTAAATCTTCAAATATTATATATATATATATATATATATATATATATATATATATATCCCTACCTTCTCCTAAGCTTTTCATGAGGCCATCTAAAATAAATTACAGTTCAGAGGTGATTGGCTCAAGTGTGTAAAAAATGCTAAGAAGGTGATTATAACTTCCTTTTATTGAGCACCTGCTATGGGCAGGTGAATGTACCCTTTCAATGACCCTGGAAGGCTGTTATTCAGAGGCAAGGCATAGTGTAGGGGGTAGGGACCCCCATTAGGGGTCTGGAAGCCCCTGCTGCCACAGCAGACACACCACTAACTTGCTGGGCGACCTTTAGGTAAGTTACTTAACCTCTCTGTACAGAGCTGAACCTAGGTCCAGACATCAATTCCTATTGTCCAGGGCTGATGAGAGAATCTGGGTTTGTGGGAGCTAGACTCAACACACTTGGGAAAATGTCCTCACTCAGAGGAAGAGTTGGGGCTCAGTGAAGTCAAACAACTTTCCCAAAGCTATCCAGCGGGTAAGGGCAGGGGGCCTAGAGGGTTATCTGGGGTGTGGTTTGTTTGCAAGCTGTTCTGAGGTTGAAAAGGTGTGGATTTTCAGACCTGGGACTCCCAGCATGAGGCCTATAGGAGCTGCCCCAGAAAGTGCAGACCAGAGCAATCAAAACAGGGTATTTGCAGCCAGCTTTCTGTCTCTGGGGCCAGAAGACTGGCGCATGCGGTGGGAGGAACTAAGCCCTGGTAGGAGCCTGCTATCCCTAATGGAGGCTTTTTATGGGAGCCGGCAGAGGGGCAAGGAGAGTGGGCAAAGCTCATGAGAAAAAGAAGTCCTGAGAAAAAAAACCAAAAAAACTTAGAGATGATGTAGTTTACCAGAAGCACGTGAACATGTTCCGGTTCACAGTCTGAGTCAGTGGGCTCAGTAACCCGCATGATTAGCAGTCTGCTTCCTGGGACCTTGAACATACTGATCTAATCCAGTTCCTGCATTCTCAAGATAAGGAAACCAAGGACCAGAGAGGGATGGGCTTTTTAAGGTTGTAGCCTCCTTATTCCTGTAACGACCTTTTCACATGGCTATAATGCACCTGTGCATTGGCAGGTTTGGGCCCCGGTGCCAGGCACACTCCAAGAACTAGACCAGGTCCTTAGCTGCCCTGGGCCTCAGTTTCCTGACCTCTGAAATGGGGAGGCTGGGGTGCATCATTTTGACCTCTGGTGTTCTTATGTCTGCATCTGAGTAATGGGCTGATACTGAATCCCCTTCTGGCCATGGTATGGTATGACTCTTCTACCCCTGTTTCATGGATCTGAGCTGCTCGTGGCATGAATGTAGTTGGAAAGGGTTCTATTAATAGCTGGAGTCTCAGGAGCCAAGCTCTTAGTCACTTCCCTTCAGAGCTGGAGGTCTGGTGGTCCTGCTTAAAATCTTCAAGGCTTCCCTTCTGTCCAATGGCCTATGTGCTAATTTACCCCTTAGCATGGCTTTCGATGCACTTTCCGAGCTCACCCCTTCCAGTTCCAAGATGACTAAGTTCTGGGGGCTCCTGGGGACTAGAGTTAGCAAGACTGTAGTGTATACTTCAAAGTTGCTAAGAGAGCAAATCTTCACTGTTCTTCCCGCGCCCACACCAAAAAGGTAAGTATGTGAGGTGACGGATATTAACTGACCTTACTGTGGTAATCATTTCGCAATACATACACCTATCAAGTCATCACATTGTATACCTTAAACGTATACAATGTTATATGTCAATTATATCTCAGGAAAGCTGGACAAAAGATCACCCCATCTACTCTGCCAGCCCCTCCGCTCCCCGTACGTAGTGCTGCCCCCACATGGATAATCTGGACGCCCCTTTACATCTCTGAACACCTGTTGCCACAAGCTGGACTTCCAGTCTTCCCTCCCGGCAGTGCAGAGCCTGCCAGATTATGGGATGGATGCTTGGTACACCCTGGCTCTCTCCCCTTCTGGGCATATCTTGTTGCATCTGGACAGCAATGCTCCATCGTCAGGGTTCTACCAGAGATCCAACTGTGCCAACTCCCTTCTTGCCATCTGTGAGCCCCTCATCCCAGCCCTCCTCCTCCCTGTACCCATCTCTTGCATCTCTGAGCTTACTGCAAACTGCCCTGCCTGGGATGTCTCCCACTCCCAATCCTCCTGACTCGTCAAGGTCAAACTCAAGGGCAGTCTCCCACAAATCCTTCCCTGTCCATCCAGGCTTTGTCCTTTGCCCTTACTTCCCAGAGCACCTGTGACCTGAACACTGAGCCTCCAGCCAGGTCACCTGAGGGACAAGGAGGGAGCGACGGAAGATGGAGTGTCGGGGTCATCTTCTCCCCTCTAATGGCCCCAAATGTGTCAGCATTGCCCTCCTAGCAGGTCGCAAGTTCTGGAGGACAAGTCTCTCTGTCCACACTGTCTGTGGCCCCTGCTCGACCTGCCAGGTGCTCCTGGCAGATGGGAACACTGTTCAGAGGCCACCTTTGCTCCCTTTATTTTCTGGCATGTTATTTCCAGGGCGGGGGCCGTTGCATGCTCTGTTTCCTTCAGGTGCATGGCCTCATGCCCACAGAAACACCACCCTGTTCCTGGCTCCTGGAGCCCTGTGTTGTGAGGCCCCCAGACAGCAAGGTGATGCATGGGGCAGCAAATTCAGGGGCAAGCAGCACTG